ATAGGATTAGGTTTTAGAGATTTCTAATTTTTATAGGTTTTTAGTTTTTCTTATAAATGACATACTTGATGTTTTATTCAGTTATTGATTGAATCAATAGATGAGTTTAAACTTTTGAAAACAGTACGTATATCTCTGTCTTTGTTTTTAATAAATATCTCAACAAATTCAAAACGTAATTTAGTTTTTTCGGAGATTTTTATATTATAACGAATAACTTCGCAATCTTCCATAGTATTCAAACTTCGTAGACTCAACGGATCACTAGTCTACATATATTTTCTGGAAAAAAATAGCTCTCGTACTTTAACAAAAATAAAAAAGTAACTTTCTGTAATTTAAATATATGTTAGCAATACATCACTATTATTTTAGCGACGATTTTGGTTGTTATTAATCCGTGTTTACATATGATGACACAGACCCCCAACCACAAGAACAATTTCAGATGGATTCTTACCACTGACTTTTTTTTTTAATTACAGAGGCTCCTAAAGATTTTTTGAAAAGACACAAAAAAAAAAAAATTTAGGAGCCTGAAACATTTGACTACAGAGGCTCCTAAATATTTTATATGAAAAAAAAAAAACAATATCAATGAAATATCTAGTGACTAGTTTTATCCTACTTAGCAATGAGTGTTTTTGGAGCAATACATTATTGTCGTGAAATGATTAGTAGCCTTGACTCTTGAGTCTTGAGTGTAACGTTAATTACTTACCATGCGCTGTTTAAGAGGTCGATCGTAATGTTAAAAGCGTGCAAAACTCAAAAACGATTTTTTTTTTTTCGTTTGTTAAACTTTCGCTTTTAATGTTGTTTTAATAAGTGAGTTTCGTATACGGAAAATCCAAATCTTAAAATATAAAATATACAACAATCAAAATAAATAGCAGAAAAGGTTATCAAAATATAAAATACATAGCAGAATATCCATGATCGAAAATTGATATTCGACGACCAAAATCAATTAATAATGCGATCATAACAACTATTATAAGCAGTCCACTATATTACCAAACAAGCTTAATTATATGCAGTAAAAATGGTTTTATGGTAAATGTATGACAGTATGAGTATATATGACCTTTGGTAGTTGGATATACTTAAGAATATGCTCCACGTACATGCCGCTAAGAACTTTTTGTTTTCTGTCAATGTTCATGCAAAATCTCAAATTTTAAAAGGTGATAGAAGAATAGTATGTCAATTTTATTATAATTTGCTTCTTTATTACTTTATAGAAAAATCAACTGAACTAACGGATCCTCAAAACAGTGACTCTATATTTTTAACAGTCAAGTACTTTCTTAATATACTTTTTATATATTGACAAATTCGAACATTTTTCATTTTTTTCAAAGTTGTTAAACTTTATATATATGCATGTATAATATGTGTGTGTACTTAAATTAGTATAGTTTGTAGAGTAAATTGCATTTTTGAGCTTTTGCATATTATGCCTTTTCAATGGTAGCTTAATAAACAAGAACATTCCTACGGATCTTCCATTTCAAGAATCACTTTTTATATTCTATCGGTTGTTATTTACCATTCTTTTTCCCTTTTCCACATTAAGCATTCTTTTATTTTCTTATCATTCCTTTATATATAGAACTCTTATAAAGTTATACTAGTGGTCTTTAACACAGTTTGTGATGTCACAACCATCTCAACTATATAGAACACTTTGTGTCTGTAGATGGCTGAAGTTGGCGGGCGAGGGCCCGTGGTACAGTGTTGGTAGTCCTCTTTGTCGTTTTCCCTTTGCAGATGTCAAGGCTTCTTTCCTTGAGCTTGAATTGATTTGGTTTGTTTGTATCTTTGGAGTGGCGGTGATGATGATGTTAGTGCTTCTGTTTTGGGCTATTTGGGTCAAGCTTCCAACTCTCCCGGTGTTGCTGTTATCTTTTGAGCTTGGACGAGTTTGGGTTCATAGGTTTCATCTCGTCTCTTGTTCTTTGGCGCAACGGACCTTACCTGTTCTATAAGATTGCTTGTTTGATCTTCATTGGTTCTTTGTATGTAGCTTTCGGTTTGGGTTCCTTTAGGGTTTTGCCCTGTTTGTCGAATTCATAGAA